GAAGTTCTTTTTCTTGGTCTGTGAAATGACTGATATACTGGAGTCTCTATAAGAAGAACATAGTTTTCATATTTAATGTAACTGATTTATCTGCTATAAATCAGAGGGTGTAATTTAATTAAGGAAATTATTGGATCTGTGTAACACTAATACTTCCCAAAATTATCCAATTATCTATGAAATTTCTATAGTGGGAAAAATGTATTTAACAGTCAGATGGAACAGGTTTTATTATTTCTATTCTAGAAAACTAATGAAATTGTTGAACTTTTTCAGAAAAATAGATATAATAATATTAACCCTATTGGGTTTAGATAATTTTATTTCACTAGATGCACACTATATATTCAGTAATATTAGTTTCCAACACCTGATTCTCACGAGTTGTGGGTTTGGTAAAAGTTGAGGATAATTTCTTCTTGATATGTTCTTACTTTCCAAACAAAACAAATTAGCTTTGATTATTTAAGATTAATTAAGATAGAATTAAATTTAAATAGAGTTATCATTATTATATATATAATTAAAATTGATTTTATTGTTTTGTTTAGAATGTTCAATACTTTTCACAATAATATATGTCACTATTTATATCTGAATTTATTTCAGTGTGAATAACCTATCTACATTACTTAAACTTGAATACACAACCTGGGTAATACTGCATTCAATCCTGATCTCAGGCAAATTGAATACATCTCAATGACTTAAATATCAAACTTAGTAAAGAACATAAAAAAGCATTAAAAATAAAAGCAAGCAAGCAAACAAGAAAAGAAGCAACAGCATTTCACTTTACCCAGTGATTGATGCAGAACATTCCTTTCACCTCCGCCAAAAAGTATCCCAGTTGGCATCCAGGACGCTTCTCTATTTTGGTTACTCTTTCACTTTACTCAGTCTCCTTTGCTAGTTCCTTCTTTTTTTTCTAACCTCATATTTTGTAGTCAAAGTCCTGTTCTATTTTCTTTTTTCTTGAAATTCTGGCCCTTGGTGATCTTAGCCATTCTCCCAGTTACTACACTTACCTAAATCTAAATATCTGTATCTGTATTTCAACTGAAGTAGTAGATGTAGGTATCGATACAGTCATAGATATAAATACAGTTTGAAAATTTCCAAATTTATGCTTCCCATCTTCCCCTCTTTTTAATAATCCAAGCAATGTACCCCATTAACTATTCTAAATTTCTACTTGAATAGACATTTCAAAAGTAACATGTTCACATTTTAACTACTAGTTTTCACTCCTAAATCTCTTCCACCCTCAACTTGCCCCACTTCAGTTAATGACAGTTCTATTCATTGTCCAGGCCATAAACCTTGCAGTCATCCTTCATTCTTTTCATTCTAGTTTCTTCCCCATCTAATATTTTAGAAAATCCTATTGACTGTACCTTCAAAGTTTGTTTGATATACAATGACTTCCTCATATCTCCTGCTGTAATCCTGGTCTAATACTCTTACCTGAATTGTTGCAGTGTGCTTCTACGTGCTCGTTCTCAATGGCCTGTGCCCCACCATCTGTTTTTGAAACAAAATACAGAATGGGTATATTTATTTTCTTTTCTCTCCCTCCCCCCTTTTAATTTTTTAAATAGGTAAGTCTGAGCATCTCACTTCTCTGTTCAAAACTTATCAGCTGTTCCTTTGCGGTGACAGTCAGTCCTCACAATGACCTTTGAGGACCTATCAGATCAGGTTACCATTCTCTCTCTGATCTTGCTCTCTATTTTCTTAACTTATTTTGTTTCAGTTATTCTGGGCTCCTTGTTTCTCAGAAATGCCCTGCACTTTCTCATTGGACGGAACAATCATTTTCCTAGGGACAATCTTTTCCAAGTATACATAAGTCCTGTTTCAAACGCTACTTTCTATCTGAGGACTGTGTTACACA